ACCCAGAAAATATTACATTTACTCTAAGTTTTACTATTAATGTTATTCTGACAAATGTACAGAATGTTATTCCGAAAAAATTGAGTCGGTGACCCCCTAATTTTTTCGGTACACGTATTTTATTTCCCCCACTCCTTTGGATAGAAGTCACCTATCACGGCGTTTGTTTTTTGATTTATTAAACATCGCCCTTTCAATCCCGCTTTTTGCGCACTTTACGCATATGACCACTGCGGAAAATATAGATACAATAAGAGACGCCATTCCAATATTATATAGATTAGACAGGTAAAAAATAAAAATTTTGATACGGGACAGCAATATCATGCAATACTATATGACAAATACCGTCATCACGTACACTCGTAATAGCAACTTAATAATTCATTACAAATGTAATTTTTAATACAACGATCAGATATTACCAAAATATAATTTTTTTTATTCTTGTAAATACAGATTTTGTATATGAAACAGTGAATAAAGATGTACTTCAGAAGAACCCACTTTCTACAAGAGAAAAGAAATGATAGTCTGATCTGACATTTGTCAGAATAACATTAAATAGTAAAACTTAGAGTAAAATGTAATATTTCTGGTTTTATTAACATGTCAGTTGCATACATGATTAAATAGTTAGTGAAACATGACAGATCCTCTACAGTGCCCGTAGCATTACAGACAAAAAATGGCAATGTATATTGAAATATCTTTATTTTGTATATAAAGATTTACAACGCAACACTCCTTTCTCAGGCCGTCGGTTCGCTAAAATCCGCAGACGTGTATTTACAGCGTTTCATTATATTTCATGTTTTAAAGTATGTTTCAATATTTCGCAAATTCTGACAAATTGTTGCAATAGTTTTTATTACAAGTGAAATTCAAATTCTGGTTTTTTAATAGGTGAAATAAAATTACATATCACTCACAGTATATCACTCATAGTGTGGGGTAATGCAAAATGTATAGATTTGCAGAATTTCTTGAAGATTAAAGGGACTCCACTGAGGTTTTTTATCATGACGGGACTAAATGAAATAATATTTTGAGAGTGTTACTCCATTTGATTTAAATCTATACTAATAACTTATTGTCAAAAATTCAGGGCATTAGCTGGCTCCGTTTTTCCAGAAAAATTATTATAATAGTGAAAAATGACACAAAATTGAAAAGCGTTTAAACGCTTTTCTCTCAAATTGGACTGAGAATGGTACAAACTCACGGTTTTCAATGTATTTCTTGTATATTTCTTAGTTATATTTTATTGATATTTTTGTTGTAAGTGATCATGATGATCTATGTGAAAAATTATAATTTATAGTTTTAGCCTTATTAACCTCAGTGGAGTTCCTTTTAATTTATATTGATGAATTTCCGTAAATTTTCTAAATTTACATAAAAATATAGAGTTGCTTTTTGTTCCTTAAGGCATATTTCTCAATTCAAGTTTATTAATCTTATGTATTACAATATCAAAAAAACACCGCAAATTATTACTCTCAGCTGTATTATTTTTGTTTGCGCTGCGTACGCGTTGCCGTTGAACACCTGACTCATTTTCTTTACATGCGTATGTTTACAATTCCTTATGAAGTTATTAAATTATGCTAAAAACAAGAAAAAAAATTGTTTGTTTTTTCGTTACAATTTTAAGAATTTGCAATTAACATTGTTGTTGTTGTTATATGTATAAGTGAAATTCATAGAACAATTCTCCTGAAATGCTGAACATTATTGCAGCACTTTGAAGTCTCAAACGTATCTGCATATACATCGCAGTTCGTTACAAAATAACTCAGGGATGGGAAATAAAATCACGTTACCGAAAAAAAATTGAGTCGGTGACCCCCTAATTTTTTTAGTTATTTGACTAAGTATAAATTTTAAAGGACGTTTAAAGAAAAAATCAAAAATTTATTTCAGGAATTTTTTAATAAGCCGCTTTAAAGCCGAAAATTGCAGCTAAACTGAACGTCAAATTTTACACAAAATTGACAATTTTCTTTCCATTACTCGAACAATTTTCGGCGTAAAACAAATAAATTTTATATCTGCTTAAAGGAAAAAAATAATTTCCGTCGAATGCTGTAGATTTAAGATACTTGTTCGCCGATGGCGTTGAAACACCCGTAACAGTTGCCAAGGATACGCAACGACGTCATGTTCAAAAACGGGCTTTGATGGTCAACTTTGACGTCATGTGTACAAAAAATTGGCTGAAAAACATTGAAATAAAATCAACGCAACCAATCAGAAAATGGTCAATCTTTCGCATGCCAATTTCAAACGCTACTCGATAATCGCAAAATGCGCGTCACCTAAATGAAAATACTACCAGATAAGAATAACACAGTATTAGTCGATATCCTATAGTAGGATGAAATCGATTTGAGTACTTTGAATTAATTAAGATACAGTCCCGGCTGTGTACTATCCAATTGACTAACCCCGTACTCAACACTTAATACTTATACAAGCTATATCGTCAACAGTGAGATGAATATATCTCAGACTATACTTTTGAATTGAATGCCTTGTGGCGATGTCGCGAATCGCAATTAAAATAACCTCAACATAGTGCATTGGCCTTGAAAGCAGAGGCCGGCTACGAGTGTTGCCGCCAGGATAATTAAGACTTTCTAATTCATATGTTTAGTTTTTTTCTTCGACATATATAGGAGACAATTTATATTAAGTATGATTCTAGTGGCAAATAATTAATATGACATTACTTAAAGGTAAAAGGAAATACTAAAAAGTTCAATGTAATGTTCCATAAAAAAAAGGAAAAGTAAATGCATTTAATTTCGTTTTATTTATGTGGTATTAAAATCTCTCCCACAGTAGTATGACTCTGAACTGAGTAAGGATGCATTGTTGCAAACAAGCTATTATAGGTACTATGCAAAGATTTACAAAATCCCTGATCTATGAAAAAATATAGACTGACACAAAAATACACGTAAAAACATGTTAATTCTTTGACCTCCAAGGTACCTGACCTTGAGTAGGTACCGTGTTCGCCATTGGACAAATCTCTATATTGAATCAATATGTGCAAAGTATTTACAAAAATCCCTTCAAAGATAAGAAAGTTATGGACCGGACACGACATATACCATCAAATAGACAATGTTGACCTTGAATGAGCAAGTGCCACCTTGACTTTTGAGGTAGGGGTCTGGTTGTTGCGCATGACACATCGTCTTATTATCACAAACATTTGTGCCTAGTTATTACAGATTCCTTTGATAAATGACAAAGTTATGGACCGGACACAAAATATACCCTGTAATAGACTATGTTAATCTTTGACCTCCAAGTGTGACCTTGACCTTGGAGGTAGGTGACCGTTTGTTGCGCATGACACATCGTCTCATTATTGTGAACAATTGTGATAAGTATTTACATAATCCCTTCAAAGATAAGAAAGTTATTGACCGGACACAACATATACCATCAAATAGGCAATGTTGACCTTGAATGAGCAAGTGCCACCTTGACCCTGAAGGTAGGGGTCTGGTTGATGCACATGACACATCTTCTTATTATAACAAACATTTGTGCCATGTTATTTCAGATTCCTTTGATAAATGAAAAGTTATGGACCGGACATAAAATATACCCTGTAATAGACTATGTTAACATTTGACCTCCAAGTGTGACCTTGACCTTGAAGGTAGGTGACCGGTTGTTGCACATGACACATCGTCTCATTATTGTGAAACAATTGTGGCAAGTATTTACAAAATCCCTTCAAAGATAAGAAAGTTATGGATCGGACACGACATACACCATCAAATAGACAATGTTGACCTTGAATGAGCAAGTGGGACCTTGACCTTGGAGGTAGGGTTCTGGTTGTTGCGCATTACACATTGTCTTATTATAACAAACATTTGTGCCAAGTTATTTCAGATTCCTTTGATAAATGACAAAGTTATGGACCGGACTCTAAAGTGTGACGGACGGACGGACGGACAGACGGAAGTTCTCACAGGACAGTAATTATGTGGCTACTCTATTGTCCTCTCTATTGTTCTTTTTAGCCACACAAAAGAAAATAGCCACATAAAAGCATTACGAATGATGACATCAAAGAGAAAGAACAGTAACCTATTGTCACTCTAGCCACATAATTACTCTCCTGTGAGTGCGGACGGCCGGACGGACAGAGCCTATTACTATATCCCCCTTTTTTCTTCGAAAAGGCGAGGGACAATAAGTCGAAATAACGACGCAGTCAGAACCAACAAGTAGTTTTAAAACAAGTCATTTGATAATTACAATCCCTAGAAGTTAAAAAAACAAATATTGTGGATACTGTAAGATTAAAACAAGCCTAAGTCACTCATTTGACATGTTCTTTTACGTTCCCATAGTTCATTATGATAACTATGGTGAAATCTAAATGCTCTAACCAAACCAACATTTTTTTCTTTATATGGAGAAAAATTTTGTTCTATTCATTTCGATGACATTTATAGAATATTGCATAGAAAATTAAAATCTAAAATATTAAAATTTTGCCTGTGTCTCATTTTAAAAAATAAAGAACTTATAGTGAAAAAAGTGTAAAAACTTCAATCAGAAATCTTGACAAGGTAGCTAACACTTGGTGAGTAGGACAGCTCTCAATATATTCCCTATAGTAAAGATTAAAATGATGTGTATAATCTCCATACTGCCATCTATCCATATTTTAATTTTCATAAATCATGTAAATGTTTTCACTACTTTCTGAGTAATCACGAGACCCAGTTTTGTGGACAGACAGAAGGACGGACTGACGGAGGGTAAACCTAAAGTCGTCTAAAAAAAAACCGGTAGGGGACTAAATAACAATTTGGGATTCAAACTTAGAGAGACATGTTGGATCCAACCAAACTTCATGAAAATCAACATTTGTATACATCTGGATATGAAAAACGAATATTTTAACCTACTCAGTCCTACAAAGAACAGAAATCTGAGTCTTTATAAATGTTTTAAAATACCTGAACATATGAATGGAAATGCCACAGACTTCATTCCCTGTTTATCAGCTTCTAGAAGGCAGTTTTCAACTGATTCTTGTATAAGATGTAACCCTTGAAAGTCTGGACAATCTCCAGCAGAAAAAGAGCAATTAACATGAATCACTTTCTTGATTCTCTTCAAATTGCCTGACCCAGTTGAGTAGCACTTAGATAATGATAGCTTACAACTTTTTAACCATTTTTCTGCCTGCCCTACATAAGTCTTCCCCGCAACCTTAGAAATACATTCAGCAACTTTACCTCCAGAACTAACAATACAATCAACATCTGTTTTGAGAATATCACTTTGGTAAATGTACACAGATACATTACCATATATATAAAACTTTTTGTCACTATCTTCATATACTTTTGCTACAACCCATTTTACATTTTTCACTAAATCATCCAAAGCTTTTGGATCAAGACCCATGATTTCAATTTGCATATCCTTTTCATCCTTTGTGTATCTTAAAGAAGAACCTGTCTGCTTATTCAAACACAATGTTTCAGCTTTTTTCATCACTTCAGGAGATGCAAACTGCATTTTCCTGACTTGTAGTTGACTAACCTTTTCTTTTAAGGAGTTAAACTCATCTTTCACATAGGCTTCTTTGTCTTTTCTGCATATCAGAGTAATTGTGTTCTCAGATGATGTTAATAGCTGAGACAGAAAACCCTTGTCTGTAAGATGTTTAATTTCTTCAGCATAAAACATCATTAATTTAGTCTTTTCATCTTTGGTGATTGGAATTTGCACACCAACCTCTCCATCAGGAATCATGAAGTTTGATTCATTATATTCCATTTCTTCAGATAGACTTTTCTTGGGAAGGTTTGGAAAATTCTCCTCTAAATATTCCTCAAATCTTAATATGCTTTCAAATGAGCCTGAAACATTCATCTGTAATTTACCATCTTCTCTGTTTTCTGTTATCTTTACACTATAAACATCTTCAACTTGAGTTTTCCAGGTGTGATAAAATTTTCTGGAAGACTCTTTTAACAGGTGATCTACAATACCTTGATTAAGCTCAGCAGATACTTCAGAACTTTCCTAGAAAGATGAAATGAAGTAAGAATTAAGAACGATAATGAGAAAAGGATATGATGCAATCTTTACATAATAACTGACCTAAAGAAAATTAAGATCAGGATCAATGGCAATGAATTCTTCATTGTGTATCCTCAAAGATTTACTATTGAATGTCAAAAAAAATTGAATTGAAATTGCCAAAGTCTACACAAATATAATATTCTATTTATCACACATCTAAAATAAGATTTGGTTTATCATAAGGCTGAAAGAGTGTAATTTTTGGTTGATGCTTGTAATGCTAATTAGCACCCTTTAAAGCTATGTTGTATATAGGGCAAATGACGTTATATCCAAGTGAAATTACACTAGTGTAATATTGTCTTATTAAAAAAGTTGATCCTGCATTGTGGCTTATGCAATAAAAAAAAGATAACTACCCATGTTAAGAAGTTGAACCAAATATAAAATGTATTGGCCTTGATCCTAATTCTGATCAAGTTAAAATTGTAACTTAAATGTAGCATTAATTATACATTCTCAAGCATGTTTCTCTGCAAATCAGCATTTTTCACATTTTGTTAACATACCATGTTATTTTAACTGATTACAGCGATGAAAAAAAGAAATGTGGAACGACACATATGCCCTCCTTTCTAGCCCTTGGCTCACATTATTGGAAATTTTGGCAGAGAAACTTGCCATAAATGGGTACATTGAAGTATTCAATTATGGAAACTAGAAATGTGTCATCATGCCACAGATGCCCCTGCATACAGCCAAAATTTCAAATGTTATAATATTTCCCGTCCCTAGATTTGCCACTTAAATGCTACCCTTTTCAATGGTGGAGTATTTAGACAATTTTCCACCAATAACGCCACCAAAACGCCACCCAAATCATGAAAATGGTGAAAAATTTGAGCAGGACTGATGCTATATAATTTTCCAGTTAATTCCACCTTTTTTACACTTAATGCCACCAATGAGTGGAAAGTTGGTGGAGTATTTAGACAAACTTTCACCATTATGCCACCTTAGGGTGTCAAACTCATTTTCCACTACATGCCACTTGTTTCCACTAATTGCCACCATCATGGTGGAAAGATGGTGGAGTATTTAGACGAATTTCCACCATTATGCCACCATTGAGTGGCAAACTCATTTTCCAACAAATGCCACTTATTTCCACCTTTTACCACCATTAGGGTGGAAAGTTGGTGGAGTATTTAGACACTTTTCCACCATTTTTCCACCACAAAGTGGCAAATTCAGTTTCCACTAAATGCCACCTATTTTCACCCTTTCAGAAATTTTCCACCTTGTGGGTGGCAATAGCTGGAAACTGCTTAAAAGTCACCCTGTACCCTTAAAGAGAAACAAACAAATTTTAAAAATAATCCTTTTTAATGTCTCCATATGAAATAATTGTCTCAAAAAATAGCAACACATTAGTCCATTTATTATCTTCAGTTTATCTTTCTATTCCTGGACGGTTTGAGGAGGTGCAGAATCACCCTATGGATTTCAGTCCTTTGGGTTGTCAGCCACTTTTTCAGCGCACAATCTAAAACAAAAAAATATTATGAATAATTGTTACAATAATGAAAAACATTAGCTTACATTATTTTTTACATGACTATTGGATATTTCTATATTCAAGTTGAGTGCATAGATATGATTAAAACCTTAACAAAACAGCATTGCAGACATGGAAGAATCAAACTTTTCTTATTTATTAATACTCCAAGGCAGAAAATATATGCAGACTCAAAAATGATATTTTCATTCAGTTCATTAGTTACCTTTCAAGAACTTAAGTTTTGCCTTGTCTGCACCAGCAGGTCTGGCGTCAGACTCTCTGTTCCATTTCCTCATACCACTCTCTGTTCCATTTCCTCATACCAAACAATGAGCAGCCTTTAATCTCCTCTATATTGAATAGCATTCTAAAGAGCCTTGTTGTACCTTTCTCATTTGAGGCATTGTGCCTCAGTTCTGCCATCACTTGGTCCTAAAATATAATTATCAATATCCAATAAGTAAAGACAGAAAATGAAACACGGTATATGTATACAACTCTAAAATTTTATATTAAGAAAGAAATAAAGAAATACATCACGTCACCATCAGTACAGGTTAAGTAATTCAATAATCTTCCAGTTTCAGTTCTTAACGAACCTTCATCAGGATAAATATTTGACAAAATTTTCAAACTTAGGTGTACAAAAACTCTAAAATTTGTAAAACTAAATGTTAATGCAAATTTAAGTGTCATTAAGAGTTTGAATAAAAGTAAGTTTGTAAATAGTGCATAATAGCTATATTTATTAAGAACTGAAAAGTGTCTTATTGGGTACTGTGACACTTCTTTCTTATCAATTCTAAAATAACTTTGAATTAACAAGATACCTTTGTAAAGCCACTGAAGAACAAGTGTGTTGCTCCAGGCTGTTCCTCATTGCTTTGTGTCTGCAAAAAAATAATTCTTATTTAATGATGTTTCTGTTATGAACTGTCATTCTCCTAACAGCTTGTTACTCTAGACTGTCTAGTTATGGTTATATATCTACTGCACCATGAAAGCTGAATTACAACAATGAAGGAATGAAGCTTACTAATAAAACAGTTACTGTTGATCTGCTTCACATGCGACACACAAGGAAAAAATGTTTATTAGCATGAAAGTTGTAGTAATAGGAACCTGTTATCTATAGTTTGATTGATGTAATATTGTACATATTAATGATTATTTTGTACTTACTGATTAATTTCTATAATTATTTTCTCAAACTTAAAATTTCTAACATACTGTATTTATGAAATGATGAAGCTCTTCCTACACTCTTTATATTCCTACATTCTTTATATGTAAATGCAGCTTTCTTTTTTAGTCAAGTTACAAACATAACAAATTTAAAACATAATTTTATACATTATACCACTTCATATTTTTAATGTTAAAAAAATTAATAGTTTCTGCAAAAATTATTATAATTGTTATATGTAAAAGTTGCTTACCTGAAACTTTGACTTGGAATGATTCTGCTGTTTATCTTCTTGTCTAATGTTATAATCTACACATTCACACTTCAGTTAAAACTTTTCATTCCTATTTGCCACACTTATAAGACTTTTAATGTATTCTTTGAGAAATCAAAAATATGCACCTTTACATTTCAAACAAAATAATATCTCCAGAATTGCTACAACACCAATCATTTGCTTTGTGTTTGCAAGCTTTAACTGACCTCAATTCCTTTGAATTCAAACTTTACAACCGTACAACTGGAAAGTTCCATTATAATTTTAAACTGTGAGGGATTATTCAAAAACCACAGCACCCATCATTTTATTTTTTACATTCATTTGAATGTATAAACTATGTCTAATACCTAAATAGATTGAGTAGAAATAAGTTTTTGAAAGATAATTTAGCATGCTATTTTAACACAGATTCTACATATAACATGTATAATGTTGCCTCTCCCAAAATAATCAAATGGAACAGTCTGGTCAGCTTGAGTAAACTATTAACCCCCATGAAGAGATTACTGAGATAAGAGGGCAGTAGTTTTATCAGATCTGTCTGTTAAATCTTAGAGGATGCAGTATTTACTTGCTAGTATTTACTTATCCTGATTATAAGAAATTATCAGACATTATTAGCTAATTACTTTACACACAATTATTTTTACAATAGATTTAAAGCCTCTGAAAGGCATACTTATTACTATATTGTGTATGTATAATAAGCAAGCACAGTACTTCATTATCTTGAAGTCTGATCTATTTTTTATGTATATTTATTAAATAGCTTTTAAATATTATTGTTAACAAGTTTGATTCATGTTTGTTTCTTCTTTAAACATGTACATAACTCTCTCCTGCAAAGTTATGGAGTTATTGCCCTTTGAAAGTTTTAATCTGCAAAGCATAGTACAAAAAATGTTTGATACAATAATTTTAAACTCCACATATAACTAAATCTCATTGATGAGAAGTACAAGGCCTAGGAACCATACCTCTTTTTTGTATGATTTGGGGTTTATTGCCATTTTGTACTTCTCCATGCTTAATTTTTGTTTTGATCATTAAGCTTAAAAAGTATTGGAGATTTTAATTTGAAACTTCACAGATATAGTTCTTTGTGAGAAACGTGCTGTGTTTACGAACCATAACTCTTTTGCATACTTTTGGAGTTAATGCCCTTTGCATTTTTCACTTTAATTATTGTAAGCATTACATGAAAAGTGTTAGTACTCACCAGATATCAGTTTAAAGTAATATTAAAGAGACCAATCTTAAATAGAAGAAAAGACCAAAGTCAAACTTTATTCAAGATTGACATTAAATATCACAACAAACTTTATGCAGAAAAATGCATTTTCTGGGCATTGAAGAACATTTCAACTATTTAATGTACAGATTGCAACTAAAAAAGCTAAGTACACTTTTACAGCCGTAACTTTACTTTACAAGCATAGAATGGAACATAGGCATTTTTGACTTTAAGTCAGTTTGATAAAAAGTTCACTTGATGCTTTGTTAAAAACTAGAAACAGGTTTATTTCAGTTTGGAACTTTAACTTAAATAAATCTTATAAACCCTGCAATGCACAATCATTTTTCAGTTTTTTCCACCAAGTTTTCTGCCACCCAGAAAATAGTTAAGAGTTTCCCTCTTCGACTAAAAGTTATTCAAAAAAATTTCTAAGTTTTTTTCCACTAATTTGCCACCCAGAAAATAGTTAGAGTTTCACTTTTCCACTAAAAGCCACTCATTTTCCACCTTCAAAATAAACTAAGTTTCATTTTTCACCAATTTCCACCTTTTTGCCACCATGAAAAAAGTCTATGTTCAAATTTCCACTCAATGCCACCTAAATGCCACCAAAGGATAGTGGTGTTTGGTGGCAATTTTGCCACTACAGTGGAAAAAGAGTGGAATTTTGTCATTTTCCAGTTAATTTCACCTTTTTTACACTTAATGCCACCCTTTTCAGTGAAAATAGCTGGCAAATAGTGGCAAATCTAGGGACGGGTTAGTTCCAAATTTGTTTGCACAAATTATTTTTTTCATTCTATGTTCAAAGCCCTTAAAACTTTTCAATGTTAACACAAACCATTTTTATACAATGTTCAAGGCACTGAAATTATTCAGTCTTAACCTTTTGAAAAAAGCATATTGAATATTTTTAGCCAAAATAATGGCTATATACATTTCCGAAAAAGTATGAGTGCTGAAACTGAAAGTTCAAAATTTTTCCAACATTCAGGAAAGATAACTTTGTCCAAAGTCATTGAACCACGACCAAATTCCAACTTAAACTGCTTATTCCTAAGATGTATCTATATTATTTTCAAAGTGAAAGGGACATAACTCTGCCAAAAAATCATCGAACCATGACCAAATTCCAAATTGACCTGCGCATTCCTTTGACATATCCATATGTCAATTTTGAGTTGAATATGTAACACTGTTGGGTTGATAATGAACAGAAACTGTAAATTTCATATCATTTTCAAAGTGAAAGGGGCATTACTCTGCCAAAATCATTGAACCATGACCAAATTTGAACTTGACCTGCGCATTCCTTTGACGTATCCATATGTCAAGTTTGAGTTGAATGTGTTGTACCATTGGCGAGTTAAAGAACGGAAACTGAAAATTTCATATTATTTTCAAAGTAAAAGGGGCATAACTCTGCCAAAAATCATCGAACCATGACCAAATTCGACCTTGACCTGTATTTTCTCATGACATATCCATATGTCAAGTTTGAGTTGAATGTGTTGTACCATTGGGGAGATAATGAACGGAAACTGAAAATTTCATATTATTTTCAAAGTAAAAGGGGCATAACTCTGCCAAAAATCATTGAACCATGACCAAATTTGAACTTGACCTGCGCATTCCTTTGACATATCCATATGTCAAGTTTGAGTTGAATGTGTTGTACCATTGGGGAATTAATGAACAGAAACTGAAAATTTCATATTATTTTCAAAGTAAAAGGGGCATAACTCATCCAAAAATCATCGAACCAAAACCAAATTCGACCTTGACCTGTATTTTCTCATGACATATCCATATGTCAAGTTTGAGTTGAATGTGTTGTACCATTGGGGAGATAATGAACGGAAACTGAAAATTTCATATTATTTTCAAAGTGAAAGGGGCATAACCCGCCAAAAATCATTGAACCATGACCAAATTTGAACTTGACCTGCGCATTCCTTTGATGTATCCATATGTCAAGTTTGAGTTGAATGTGTTGTACCATTGGGGAGTTAATGAATGGAAACTGAAAATGTCATATTATTTTCAAAGTAAAAGGGGCATAACTCTGCCAAAAATCATCGAACCATGACCAAATTTGAACTTGACCTGTATTTTCTCATGACACATCCATATGTCAAGTTTGAGTTGAATGTGTTGTACCGTTGGGGAGATAATGAACGGAAACTGAAAATTTCATATTATTTTCAAAGTAAAAGGGGCATAACTCTGCCAAAAATCATCGAACCATGACCAATTTCAGCCTTGACCTGTATTTTCTCATGACATATCTATATGTCAAATTTGAGTTCAATATGTGCAACGGTTATTAAGATAATGAACGGAAACTGATGATGACGTAAGGACGGAATTACGAATGACGGAACAGGGTTAATAACACTATATGCCCTTGCCAGTATATGGCGGGGGCATAAAAAGAAAATAATGAAGACTTTGCGATAAATAGTTTTCAAGATAATGAGACATTTAAGGCCCCTGTGACCTAGTGGCCACAAAATCAATAGCTGTCACTTACTAGCATGATGATCAATCAATATTAGAAATATGAAAACTTTGTGATGAATAGATTAATATCTAAAC